AAGCCAGGGCAAAGTCCGGGTTCTCAGCCGGTGGCAGGTGCTCGGGATAGGGCAGCTGGCCTTGACCCTGTGCAGGGGTCCCAGCGGTGTCACACAGCCATGTGCTGAGTCCAGCGTTGGGTCAGGAGTTAAGTGAAGGCAAGGCAGGCAGAGCTGAGATTGTGACGAGCCGTTTAGGGGAGCTGGGAATCTCCTTGGGGCTTTCTGCTTGGAGGGCAGGGCCAGGCCAGGCTGCCCTTCAGCCTCACGGTAAACCTGGGAGTTCAGTCAGCCGGGGTGTGCTCCCAAGTTAGCGCTGGGGACAATGAGCCTTTGCTGGGATATGCTCAGGTTCGTGGCAGGGCTGGGAGGGGTTGCCAGGACCCAGGACGGGTCAGGGGGGCCTTGCTGCCCCCCCCCCCGCCCCCGGCGGGGAATGGTTAGGCCCCACTCTGCCTGAAAAGCCTTTCGGGCCTGGGTGGTGGCTGCTCTGGGGGGGTGGTGCGGGCTGGGAGAAGCTGGACCCCGTTCTCCTGGCCAGGCCCTTGCATCCCTGGAGCCTCCTCCAGCTACCTGCTTGCCCTTTGGCCCTCTACTGGCGCAGGGATCCTGCTAAATATTTGGGTTTCTCTGGTGACTAGAGGGCAGTTCTTGGGCCTCCCACTGAGGAATCAGTGGAGGCTGTGAGCTCAGGGTCCTCTGCCTGGCGTGCTTCTGGGAGAGGCCTTGGGGGCTCTTCTCCATTCAGCTGTGCCCCTCTCCCAGTTAGGCGGGTGGCCCTGGCATGGTAACGGACTGACTTCTGAGGGTCACCGTTCTCAGCCTGGCCCCTTCTCAGCATCTCAGGCCCCATTATTCCCTCCTTGTCTTTGGGGAGTCAGGAGAGACTGAACCAAACTCTCAAAGGCTCCCTGATGGGGGGAGGATGAGTGGATTCTCCCTTCGAGAAGGAGCAGGTAGCCAGGAGCAGAGACTTGGGGGCACGGGGCCTACTGCGCCTGGACCGGCAGCAATGGAGGCCGGCTGGGGAGCTGGCTGGAGACACTGTGTCCCTTTGGAAGTGGGGGCAAGTCCTGGGCCCTGCTTGGCCCGGCAGAGCCCCGGGGTCTGGGGCTCAGCTCTCCCTGGTCCCCTCCTCCTCTCCCTGGGCCAAGCCTCTGGCTCACAAAGGCCAGAGAAGGGAAGGATGTTCTAGGGAATGTAGGTCAGGGGCCCGATGGGCTAGCTTTGGCCAACCTCTGCTGGCAGGTCTGGTATTTTGGCCTGTCCCCTGGGGTTGTTTTTGGCAACACAAAAATGATGGAGAAATTTGGTGGGAAAGGGAAAAGTCCATAAAACATCATTACTGAAATTGAGTGCTTTCCTTAAAAAAAAGGCTGTTGAAACTAAGTTCTTGGGTCACCCAACAGGGTACCAGTCTTTTGGGGGCAGGACTGAGCACCGGTGCATGGTGCTGGGCAGCGCAGGTCAGTGCTGAGGGCTCTGCTCTCTTCCTGCCCTTGACCGCCCCCTGCACCAGCCGATGATCCCTGTCTGGGAGCGGTCTCGGTTCTGTAGCATCGGCTCAACCGTAATGGTCTGAGTGAAACCAGATCTCTGTTGAACTTGCAGCCAGAAAGCAGGATTTCATACTGCCCTTCCTCTCAGGGTTTGGCACTAGGACAAGTCCGAACGTCTGAGAGTGGCCTCTCACGCCTCATGGGTTCTCCAGCACCTGAGGGGCACCGAGCAGGTGCCTGGCCCCAGGAGGGGGCCGCCGTGTGTGCACGCTGGGGGAGGGTCGAGGCCTTCTGCAGGCCCTCGGGATGTGCCATTATGAATAAGGAACGGTGTCTTGCTGGCCCCCAGTTCCACGCCTTGCTCTGTAGCTGGCTTGAACTTGGGGAGCCCCTCTTCCTGCTCCGGAGGCCTTAACCGGGCAGACTAGGTCCCTGAGGACCCAGCAGCAGGCAGCGCCCGGCCCGCGCCTCGTCCGTGCGCAGGCTGTGGTTAGCCGGGCTTCCGTCAGCACTGTGCAGCGCCTAACATGTACTCAGGCGATTTCTGAGCAAGGTATTATTTACCCTGCTGACGTCAATGAGAACATAGTATCCACTGTCCTTTTTGTAGCCTGAAATGAGCACCAGGGCTCAGGGAACACAGCCACCTTCCATACTTTAAAGATTCCACTCACGGCCTGATGAGGTAAAGGCCCTGTCTCCTCTGACATTCATAGCATCCAGGCTCTTAGAAAACAAGTTGTTTTTACTTTAATTCAGTTTTAGGTTGGAAACATAAAAACAGTACATTTTCCTTGCAGAACACTGCCCCACGTAAATTACCATTTGGTAACAAAGATCATTTATTAAACTGCATTTTAGGCAATTTTCTATCATTGAGGGACAGGGTCCATTTTGATTTTGTTTTCACACTGGAGCTATTATGATTTGCACTCAAAATCCTAAAGCTATCGCACTCACCGTTTTTTTCTTAGTAATTAAAAAAAACCACACGGAAAAAAATAACTACAATCAGATTTTTATCAAAAGTAACTTTCACAAACCAAATATCCAGTAAAGACCACCCTCCTCCTTTCAGAAATAAGCAAATAATCTTGCCCTTTCTACAAAGTGCAAATATCTCAATCACTTTTATTTCTTAAATTGCAGTCCCCAAAGAGAAGCAAACCTTTTCTTCTGCTTTTCCCTCCAGAGATTTTGGTGGAGGCAGGTTTCTTTCACCATCAGCAGTGGGAAGGCTTGGCCACTTGGATTTCCTTGACTGAGCAAATCTTGAACCGGATAGCACCCCCCACAGCCAGAGGCGGGTCTGAGTTCACTCTACTTGCTCGAGAAACAGGGAAATCCAGTCTGGGGTCCTATTTTTCCAGGATGTTCTTTTGTACTTCTATTTTTATAGTGCCCCTGTACCCACCCACTTTGCCTCTGAGAAGACAGAGTATTCAATCCAAGTATGTGAATTGTTTTATCTCTAGAAGTGTCCAATTGGCACTCATATTTGATGGACCTTGACAGGAGAGAAATGTTACACCCCTCCTGCAGGCCAGGCTCCTTCCTGATTCTTCTCCCAGGGCCTCCTTTCGTGGGGCTGGGTCTGTGGGCCTGCAGCACTGAGCCAAAGCCCTGTAGTTTGGCCCCTTTGCAGTCAAGGAGGGGTGTGCCCTGCCCCCCTCAAGGGGGGCTCCTCTAGGAAATTACTATGTTGTGTGACTGGGAGAAACCAGACCTCTGTGTGAGCCTATGCTTCTGTACTTAACTGGACCCTGCAAGGAGGGCGGTCTGTGGGGTCTGTGTCTCTTGAGCCTGTTCCTGCACGGCCGCCGGGGGAGGGGCACCTCTTCCTCCCCCAAAGCCAGGGAGCTGCCAAGAGGAGACTATGGTTGCGGGGACAGAGTCCCAGCCACCCCGTGCTTACCTAAGCTGGGGGCTTTGTTGATATAGCTACTGGCTCGTGAAGAGAGTTCCAGATGCTAGTGAGGGGGAAGAGCGCCCAGGGAGAAGCCAGGAACCCCCGAGCCGCCCAGCTCCGCCCCAGCTCCTCCCGCACGGGCTCTGCCCTCCGCCGGCTCACCTAAACTCAACTCCCGCGAGCTTTGGTGTCCTCAGCTGGAAGCAGTGAGGACTGGATGTGTCCCGCTAATTCCACAGAATCGTCGTGAGGCTTAGATTCCTTGTGAAATGTTTGTGAATTAATGTACAAATACGAGCTGTTGCTCCTTGCAGACAGGCAGGCTGACGCAGGGCGGGAGCTGAGACGCCCCCCCCCCCCACGCCCTGCGCTGCTGCAGTCGGCCCAGCGGGGGGCACTCTGTGGTCAATGACCCCCCCCCCACCTCGGGGGGCCACAGGGCAGGCAGGCCCACACCACTGAACCTGTCAGAGGGGACACACACATTTAAAGAATCTTTGTCCAGTTTTGAAACAGAGGCAGATAACTGCTCTCGTCTTCCACACACACCACTCTGAAGATAAGTTGTTAAAATTTCCAGCAGCAGCACAGCGATCAAAGACCCCTGCCTATGCAATGACTCCAACTTACTACCTATTCTCCAGTTTGTCCCTTTGATGTCTAGGCACACACAGAGCGAGCGGCTCGGGTGGTTTCCGAGGAGGCAGTAGAGGCGGCCCGGTTCAGGGGTACAGACGCGGCCAAGGTAAGCCCCCGCACGGGGACTCCACAACTGCTCCCCGGGGCCAGAGCTGTCCGAGCACCCTCTGTATTGTCTCTAGAGGAGGAGGAATGTGGCAGAGAGAGCTGGAGGATGAACTTCCTTTAAACCAAAAGGGTGCTTAGGTGTAACTGTCGACAGAGGCTTTTGAACGTAATCCAGAGCACCGCGTGCAGGCCCGCACGCCCGAGCCACCTGGTGCTGCCTAGCAGAGCATCCCCCCTTCTTGCCGACTCCAAGCATTCTCCCCTCTTGGGTGCCTCTTCGGGGGCAGAGCTGGGGGGAGAGGCCCGTAGTTGGCAGGAGGGAGGGTGGCCCGCTCCCGCCCCAGAAGGGCACAGGCCCTTCTTCTCAGATGTGGGGGCAGACCAGTGGCACCCGAGGAACTCAGGAAACAGCTCAAGCGCCTGGCAGGTCTTTATGTCTGAGCAGGAGGGGGAGTCGACTTTCTCCTTCCTGGGAGCAAAGTTTGATGACGGCAGGGGAGGGAAGGGGTTTCGTTCCTATCAGAACAGCGTCCTTCAGCGCCATGCCCTCGTCCTCCCCCGTGGGCCACAGACGGTAGTCTTTAAGTGGATAAGGGGGAGGGGTGGCTGTGAAGAACCTTCCGCCGCCCCCATGGTCAGCGTAGCTCCCTGGGGACTTTACAGGAGAATACACACCTTTCTGTTGTGCTAACGCGCTCTACTTGCCTTACAGGGACCAGCATATCAGTTGCACGTAAATACTAGAGACACGCTTGCCCAACTGGAAATTGCAGAACTAGTGCATTTTTCCCAAAGCAGAGACTAATACCCCTGGATTAAAAAAAGAACATAAAAAATAAAGTACCACACATATTGCACTTTTTGCCGAATGAAATTTTTACCTCCAGTTCATCTCCCCAAGTCTCTTCAGAGGAGCCTGGTTTACAAGATAATAAAGCGAATGATTACTATACAGTAGTGTAGACACGCTAACGTGAAACAACCTGGAAAGAAAGTCCTTATTTCAAAGTAGCCTCTCGTAAAAAGAGCGGTACGAAGCCTTCTTAGTGTTGTTTTAGTGTGTGTGGAAGCCACTCAGAAGTGGCCGGAGGGCACCGGTCAGGGGACAGAGCCATGGAGGCAATCCCACGGGGCGGGGAGCACACTTTACCGACCGTCACTAGTTTCCTCTCACCAGCTGACATTTCAGTAAAGACGGACCGTTACAGAATTTATTGATTTCTGCTTGAAAGGAGAAAAGCAAATAGCTTACGCCCCAGGTCCGGAGGGCGGCTCATGCTCGGCGGCAGGGCCCCCGCACCGAGCCCCTGCGGGGAGCTTCCCCGCGTGCAGCTCTAGGCCCTGCAAACACCAGCAGCCTCTCCTGCCGTGCCCTGGGCCCGGCCGCAGTCGGCCACGCCGCTCCAAGGGTTCCCGGACTTGGGGCTCCTGGCTGGGGCGGCGGGGGGCAGCCTCGGTGTCAGCCTTTAAGTGCCACTCCTGCCGCCCCAGTTTCAGGCTGGGAGGCATTTTAATTTCATAAACATGACAGTGCCTCTGTAGTATATTTTGGAAAAATATCCTTTAGTCTAAACAAATCAAGCCCTATTTCATAACTGGCTTATTTTGCAAAGACTAAAAACAGATTAGAGATCTTAATGAAAGGATCGCTTAAATGATGTTCTCTATTTCATGAAATCATCACTCTTAAGTATGAGGAGGAACAGACAATCCACAGAAGGAACAGAATTCATTCCTACTGGGTTTTCATGAGTTGTTACATCACAAAAACGACAGTCCTCCATGGGCACCCTGTCTTGCTAACACCTGGACGCTTCACCCCAGCAGAGCCCGCACCAAGGACTGCTCACATCACCCACGCTGGGAGGGACTGGGGCACGCTTCTCACCTGCCTGGACACCCACTACAATGAGGAAAGGCAACTTAAAGGTGTTTCTAGATGCAGCATCAGTGTAGTGTCTCTCTTCTTTGTGCTTTGTGACGCTTTGTGCTTAGTGCATTCATCTGCTGATAGGACAAGCCATTCTACAGGACAGAAACGACAGTCTTTGTCAATAACACTGGGTTGTAACATTGGGATGTTGCTGTCCAAGCGACAGGTTGTTACTTCTAGGTATACGGTTAACTAGCTGGTGCATCTAGCTTTTACTTACTCTGATGAGAGAATTGGAAGGGTTAAGGTTACGTTTTCACTAGTCATAGAACGTGTCTGGCAGATGATCTGCTAGATGGTTAACACATTTGTGGTTTTAAATATTGCTGTAATACTTGAACGTTTTGTTACAAGTCAGAACTTTTAAGGAAATTAAGAATGCGATTCCCACACGGTGGAAAACAAACTCCGAAGTAACTTTGGATTTAGCATTGACATAAATGGAAAACTGTTGGTTTCTACAGAAAAGAAAGAATTAAAGCATGATCTGGGGGAAAAAAGGCACAGCACTACCACTTCACATGGGAGATCAAAGTTCATGTTTCTTGTCCTTGAAATTCCTAAGCCCTATATGAAACTGTCCAAATGTACAAAGCTCAGTAAACTACCTGCAACATCGAGTGTAGAGTCAAAGTAGTTATTCCATTTTAAAAGAGACGCGAGGTCCTCTGGAGACCAACCGCCCCAGACCAGCAGTCTACACCAAAGACTCAGCAGGGACAGCTCGTCTTCCCTGGGCCCAGCGCTGCTGCCCCCAAGGGCTCCTCGCAGCTCATCCCTCGCCCCCCCCCCCCCCCCCGCTGTGCTGGGTCTCGTGGTTCCACAGGTGACAGCACTGGAGCCCCGAGTCCACTCTGCACCCCGGGAACCTTCGGAAGAGGGGTGCCACTGCTCCCAGGTGGAGACGACTGCCCGTCTCCGGGGTCAGTGCCAGCTGTGGCTTTGTGGCCCCTGAAGCAAAGCTCACGTTCCACTTCGTTGCAGTGGTCTCAGGGACAACCTGCAGCTTCAAACTCAGGACTCAGTGACCAAGCACAACTTTTCTTTTACTTCCCGTGCATCAAAGTCCATTACATATTCTTCACTTGCCTAACAGAACGTGCTGTTGCTTGGCTTCAGTGAAAAATCTAGTGTTGTTTTGTTTTTGTTTTGCCCACATCCAATGGCACAGTTTTTCCTGCTTCTACCAAAGGTTTCCCTTGATAACAATTGGCGTCGTTCTACAGAAAACCTAGGGCCACATGTCTTCTTACAAAAACATCTGTCAGTCCTCCCATGAGAGCTGGCTCCACTTGACGTAAGGGCATGAGCCTCAGCTACCACTACACTCCGGCACTTGCCCCAGAAGATGGTGGTGGGGCAGAGCCAGGAGAAAGCGACATGTGCCCGGCCAGGCCCTCTGATTCCAGTTGGGCAACTTAACTTTTTCTCCAGTTGGGAGAGGGCAGGAAAATAAGCTTTAAATTTAAAAGGCTGGAATAAAAAGAGAAATAGACATTCTTCCTTCACTTGACCCGCCTCACTTCCTGTGCTGAGGTTAATTTACCAGGACGTAGCCACTGTGCTGTGGGTCCACAGCCTCCAGCATTTCACAATCGAAGAGTCCGGGGAACTCTGGGAGGGCTAGAGGGTCGTAGCTGGAGGGGGCCTCCTGCAGTCCCGAGCTCCGGGGACAGTCCTGTGCTGCTAGGCTGCTCTGCGGGCCTCCATCCATGGGGTACTGGCAGGGAGGGGGGTAGTCTGGCTCCGGGGAAGCAGCCCCTGGCAGCTCGCAAGTCTGATAGGAGAACGGTAAGGGGGTCGGGGCGGCCCCTGCCTGTTGCGCCGGGGGCGGCGGCGGCGGCGGCGGCGGAGCCCGGGGGCGGGGCGCAGAGGGCAGGGGCTGCAGCCGCATCTGGTACTGGCTGAGGAAGGGGCTGTACTGCATTTGCTCGGAAGTGGGCTCCAGGACGGGGCTCAGGGGCTGGGGCAGGCTGAAGGGCGGGGGCTGCGGCGAGGCCGTGGCTGTCTCCTGGCGGGGCAGGGGCAGCTGCTGACTCGGCGGCGGGTACGAGCTCTCTGCTATCTGCATCTGATTAAAGTACGCCTGCAGCTGGGACTGTTTCTGGAGAAAGAGTCGCTTCTGTTGGAGTCTAAATTGGCAATAGCAAAAGAAAGAGTTTCAAATCTTCCTCAGTGACGGCAATTTTGTACAAATCCAGGATCAGTCCTCCCACTTCTCTTTTCCGCAGCAAAAAAAAAAAAACAAAAAAACCAAACCCCCTCCCCCCAGAAACCCCCCAAAATGGGGGTAGGTGTCTGGTTTCGTAGCCCTGACATTTTTGGCCCCCCGATTCTGACGGTTCCCTCAGTGCCACACTGAACACTAATTCATCTTCTCTAAGACCGAGTTTTTCTCCCTCTGAAGCGAGAGGCTGATTTCCCATCCGGAGTGTTTTAAAGGGGGGTAATGCCTGGCCTCTGGGGGCGGCTTAGGGTAATTCTACATTGGCCAAGCTGCTGCTCCCAGTGAGGCATGAGGACACGAATTACTGCAAGAGACGACGGAGGCCCTCTCTGCAGCAGAACCCACTTACACTGCTGTAGGTTACGGACTCTGAAAGCTTAGGTCTGTTCATAACCCACAGGGAAACACTAGAAGGGAAAGAAAACAAAGCAAACGCAGGCCTGCCATATCCTGCCAGACCCATCTCCCGAGGACACCGGACTATCTGCACCAGCGATCATGTCTTGAAACCTGTGTCGCGGTAGAAGCAAACGCTGGTGGCGGGGGTGGGCAACACATCCAGCGTCCTGAAGTCTTCAGCCAAGAAAGGGACCCTCTCTCACCTGTGTTCCTGCAGCTGCTGTTCAAGGCTCCGTGGTGGTTCTTTACAATAAAGCTGACAGGTGTTCTGGGCTTTTGACAGAAGGCTGGGCTTCTGGAAGAGTAGAAAAAGAATATGAGCATGACAATATGATGTCATCCAGGATGCGGTCACTGGACTGTCCTGTTTGCCCGGAGGACGAGGCCAACTGTGTCCTCCCGAATCTGCGCAGGGTGAGGGCGTGGACCCCCGCTCCCTGAGGCCCAACAGCACTGGATGAGCAGGCCTGCACTGCCCCAGCTTGGACGAGCGTCAGTTTTTCCATTTCTCAGAGTCCTCTAGAACTACAAGGCTCAGAACGATGAAACACAATGAGAAAGAGTGGAGTTAAATCTTGAGAGCAAAGGCCACAGCGCCCACTGAATGATGTGTATCATTTTTAAAGATTTTCAGGCATTAATGTAGAGAGCTGAATTTTGTTGGCTTGAGATTTCCATTTTATTTATTATTCACTAATAGGCATAACATTAGAGGCATAGAAACCGGGTTTCTCATTCCTACCGGTGGCATTCTCCTTTCCTGGGACCTGAAGATAAATCCTTTTCCGCTGCCAATATAACCGTAAGGCTAAACCTGAACATGTTTTTAGAAACTACAAATCCAGAGTCAAAGCTACCTACTTATAGGGAAAAAAGCAGCTACCCTAAAAAATTACCAGGCAAAACAGGTTTCTGCAGTGCAGAAAAGCAAATTCTGGACAAGCCCTGTGAGCTGGAGTAACAAGGGGAAGGGTCCCACCTGGAGTCTATGCTGTAGATACTGGGCTTCCAGGCTCTGGCGTGGGGAAAGCTGAGGATGCACACTGCTGGGCACGGCAGGGACCGTTTTCTGCTGCTGAGAAACTTCCTCCTGAAGAGCAAGGGGGATGAAAACATTTTCAGTTCTCCATGTGGCAGAAAGTTTCAATTCTTTGTTTAAGCACCTTGGCAAATGTCCAAGAGGAACTCCAACTCTGTAAGACATAATACTCAAAGCTTTTCATGTAACTAGTAGGCTGAGGGTTACGTTGCAGTGAACGATTACCTAGTCTACTATAGCAAAGGAGGCCATGACCTTCATGTGGGCATCAAATGCTAGAATATCCTTGATGCACTGAAAATAGGCTCAAAATAAAATGTGTTGGATAAACAGCAATATTTTGGGGTCATTTTTAGCATAACTAATCCAATTATAATATGTAATCTAGTGATATCAAAACTAATGGCAGTGAGCTTTGCATTTATGTTACTATTTTTAATTTGTGTGTGTGCTGGGGGGGAGGGGAGTTCAATTACATTATAAGAAGTCACTCATGTAAAACCTGCCCTATGAACCAACCATAGCTTGAGAGTGTCTCCACCTCCTTATGGTACTAATCACCTGGGACCAGTGTGGATGGGTCTAACCTGTCAGTGGCAGGTGGCAGCGACAAGGAAGCTTCCAGGCTGTGAGCTCTCCAAAATGACCTGTTTGCTCTGGGACTCCAGTCAGTCCTTGAAGTGACATGACACTCCTTCAGGACAAAGTCATGCCTCATACTCACGGAGCCCCTGTGGGAGGGCCCGGAGCACCAACCTGAGGGCAACTGCCGGCGAGGCCCTGGAGCTGAGGAGCAGCGGGTGGCGAGTCAGGGCCTGCCTCTGGCCCTATTTGTTCATACAGTAGCTGCACTTTGTTCAGCTCTAGGATTCCTTTGGTTCTGGCCAGATTCTGAAGATGTTGTCTAAATGCCACAATTCCTGAAGCAGAGAACAACGACCAAACAGTTTAAATAAAACACAAGGCCTTTCAGTGACCGAGGTGTGAAACAAACATGGCCACAACCCCCCTCAGGCCCTACAACAGGAGAGTTTTCCGAGTCACGAGAGAGAGCGGCCAGTCACCTTGGGTGAGGGAGGTGTCCGACGCCCTTCGGCCCTCTCTGAAGCTCACTGGCGACCTGTTGTGGGCCTCTCGCTTCTGGGAACTCAAAGCCTGCATGGCTGGGTTGGCAGGTCTCAGGCTGATGAAGGGAGACGTCATGCGTGGGGAGGGCTGATTGGCTAACATGAGGTCCTTAAGGGAAGGGTTGTCCTCCAGAAAGTTCAGGTCCCTCTGAACAGACCCCATATCATACTCAGAGTCCACACTGTCAAGGGAGGGGTTGTCACTCATGGAGAAAATTTTCCCTTTAAGAGAAAGAAAAAACCAAAAAAACCAAAAGAGATAAGACCAGCAGCAAACAACGTGGGCTACACAGCATAATGAGCCTGAGTTTGCACAGCTACACCTCCTTATCTCCAATCTTCATCCAAAACACCTTTCCAGAAACGTTTTACATGTCAATTTAATCAGCTTCGAGTAAATTTAGTGGGGTAAACTGTGCCCGTAAGATCTCTGCCACTCCAAAGCAGCCAGAGCTCTTGGTGGATCACACAGCACTTCAGACGGATCTTGGCAGGTGGGGGAGCTGGCTCAGAGCTATTTCATTTTAATCTTTGGTGGCTGCCGAGCAGACCTAATCCTATAGCTTGCTGAATGTGGTCCGTAAAGGAGTAAGACGTAGGCAGCATTCTAAGAAGTGGCGGCATGACTACTTCTTGGAGACTGGAGCGGGGGGTCTGTGCTGTGAAGACTCAATCCGGGGCTTACTGGGTCTCCTACCTGAAGCAGGCACCACGACCAGCTGATTGGTCACTTCTGAGAGAGTGTGCCGCCTCTGCCCACTGCGTGTGGCCTGGAACACATCGAAGGCCTGACTGGGGTCTTCCTCAGCCTCTCCCTCTGCCTCCAGCCCCTCATCGATGGAAGTCTCCATCATGTTGCTGGGCAGCGACTGGCACCCCTTCCTCACCAGGACAGGGGGCACGGGGTCCAACAGACAGCCGTTTACCTGAACGTCAGTGTGAGAGGAAACTGTCAGCTGCTGTTCTGCTGAGACGTTAAAAAAAACCCACACAGGAAAAAATGTCAAGACTTGTGGCAAACTAGAAATTAAGTAAAATATTAAAAATGTGCATATTTGTTACTAGCGACAACATGTAGATTACACTACAGCTCTCAGAGACAGAAGCCCTGTATGACCCACACTGGCACTGCCTCCCACGTCTCTCTGAGTCATCATCATTACAATAAACAGTTTTTTTAGTGGTTTCCAGATGAATAGGGATATATGAGCTTGAGGCCTACCAGTTATTATTACTTTTCTTAAATAAGGGAAACGATGAGGGGGAGGATGAGATAAAAAACAAAAAACGTGCATGGCTCATAGCTAAGAAAAAAGAGCCACTAGCATTCTTCTAATGTTCAACCACAAAACATTCTGGAAGGTTCGAGACATACTTTGTTCAGAATTTAAGTACCTGCCCATTTGATTTAGTCTTTAATTAGTTCTCTGTGCCTGGGGAATGGAAAAAAGAATTCTTTAAAGACAGACTGATACCGCAAAAGGGAGTAAAAAAAAACTGAAATGGCACACAGCCAAAGTCTTCCATTATAGAACAACAAATGACTCACAGCCCCGAAATTCCAGCAGAGGTTAATGAGCACCAGTGCACTGAATTCTCTCTCCTCCAGCAATACACACAGTATCTATAGCTCCCATCCCACAGGGTGAGCTCAGCACAGCTCCCAAGCGAGCAAGAACTCTGCCCTCCTCTGCCAAACGAACCACCTACTGCAGGGAGAGCCAGCAAAGGGGTGCTGTGGCTGCGGGTTCTCCTGGCTGGTAAGAGCCCCAGCGAGGAGGCAATCATTTACTTCATTACCGTAACTATTCCCCCATGGAAATCAATCCGTTTTCTCCTAGGAACAGCTGCTCAGGGCCAGCCAGTCATAGGACGCGGGGCTCGCCGTGGTGCTCTCACCTGGAATAGACTGGGTAGACCTGTTGTTTCCTCTGGAAGCACGAGAAGCTCATGTATGTGAGAGGTGACGTGGGGCACCCCAGTGCCAGGCACAGGAAAAACTTTCCTCTAATGGCAACCAATCTGAAGGCATTGCAAGGCCCTTTATTTGGAGAGGGAGATTGTGGGTGACTCAGGGCTTTGTTTGCTTGGGGGAGGGGACGGTTAGTCCATAAAAACTGTTCTGGGGCTGCAGCCACCACTTGGATAAGGTGGCTAACGCATGACAGGGTTTTAAAGTGACAAGTGCACATTTAACAGGAAGAGTGGCAAATGCTTTCTTCCTACACTAAGACCAATCTTCCCCATATGGCACCAGAAACAAAAATTCTGAAATCTGGCCAGTGACTCTCATGTTCCCCTCCGCCCTTCCCTAGGCGGGCGTCCCCTGTCTGGACACTCAGTAGTTGTAGGAAAGAATGGCTCTTGGGGAACTTAGCTTCATACCTGTGGGTTCCTTAACTATCTACTAATACAGTTTTCTGAGAATAGCCAAGGATGAGTGAGTGATTGATTGTTAAAAGATTTTGTTTGAGAGAGAGAGAGAGAGAGAGAGAGAGAGCGAGAGACGGTACACAAGCAGGGGGAGTGGGAGAGGGAGAAGCAGGCTTCCCGCCGAGCAGGGAGCCCGATGCGGGGCTCGATCCCAGGACCCCGGGACCCCGGAACCACGACCTGAGCCGAAGGCAGATGCCTAACGATGATGAGCCACCCAGGTGCCCCCCCCAAGGATGAATTAGAAATGAATAAAGCAACAGAAAGAAGACTGGTACTGAGTAAATATCTACTAAGCATCTTCACACCTTTTTTTTTTTTAAAGATGTTATTAATTTATTTGAGAGAGAGAGAGCACAAGCAGAGGGAGTGGCAGAGGGAGAAGCAGGCTCCCCACTGAGTAGGGAGTCCGATGTACAGCTTAATCCCAGGACCCCGGGATCACGACCTGAGCCAAAGGCAGACACTTAACTGACTGAGCCATCCAGGCGCCCTGCATCTTTACACTTCTATAGCTTGTCAAAATTTTATTAGATATTTCTTACAGTATAGCCTTACAACCAGGTTATTTTTTTCCTAATAGAGAATAGTCATCTTTTTTGGAGTACTCAAAAGACCTGGCAGTCCCCCTAAATTTACATTCTTTTCTTAAATTCTCTGCTTATAAATTATCTCCTCCTCTAGACTGTAACAGGAATGATGTCTTTCATTTAAAAATGTCTGCTGAATTCAATTTCATCCTGGGAAACAATGATCTGGTTTTGGTTTTTCAGATGCTGTTTGATGATGATTAAATCAGAAAGCACTGTGGGGGGCCCCCCACTCAGACATAGTTAATAGGTGTGAACACCTTCAGCTGTAAGTTCATTTCCTGAAATAGGTGATAGTCATGCCACCCTTGCCTGCCAATTTATCCAGGGTCTTGATAGAACAAATTCAGCCCCAGGATTTTGTGACTGAAATATTAGGCTGATCTACCTATGTGACCTAAGCTACTAGAAATAAGATCTTTTCCTCTAGGAAATAATCTAGGCTGACTGTAAATTACAGAACTTCAAGATACATGGGAGAAATGGACATTTTACAATACATTGTTTTTGTCTTTCCTTAAAGCTCAACTGATCACTTTTTTTTAAGAGAGAGTGTGAGCGTAGGGTGGGGGGTGGGGTGTGTAGAGAGAGGGAGAGAGAATCCCAAGGAGACCCCCTGCTAACCACAGAGCCCAACGCGGGCCTTGATCTCATGACCCTGGAATCAGGAGTTGGACACTCAACCGACTGAGCCACCCAGGTGCCCCTCAATCACTTCTAGTAAGAGACCTCACTGCAATAGGCAATACACGTGAAGAAGTTAAACTCTGAGAAACTCTGCTATTAGTTGATTAATACCCGAGTCTACCACAAAATACAAGATTCTAGCACAAAAGACTGGTAGATAGTTATGGATTGAATGTTTGTGTCTCGACCCCCATCTCTCATCCCACCTCCTCCACCACCAGATTCATATATGGAAACCCTAATCTGCAGGGTGACTATATCTCGAGACACAGCCTCTAAGGCGTAGTAGTTAAAACTAGGATCACAAGGGTGGGACCCTGACCTGGTAGGATCAGTGTCCTTATAAGAAAAGATATCAGGAAGCTCCCACGTGTGTGCTCTTGCTCGCACTCACTCTCCCGCCCCATGTGAACACAGAGGAGAAACCATGGGAGGAGGGAGAGAGAAGGCAGTCCTCTACAAGCCAGGAAGAGGGTCCTCATCAGAAACAAAGCCGGTCAGAACCTTCATCTCTATCTTCAATTTTTAGCTTCCAGAACTGTGAGAAAAATATTTCTGTTGCTTAACCCCCCAGCTTATGGTATTTTGTTATGGTGGCCTGAGCAGACTAAGACAGTAGGCCAGTGCACAATATTAGCCAGTGAACCTGGAGGCTAAGAATGTGTCTTATTTCATTTGTATCCTCAGTGCCTGGCAAGTCGGGCATGTACTGAAGAGGTGCAGGCTCCAACCTCAGCTCCAGCACTTCTCAGTGAGCTGTGCAACTTCTGTAAAGCTCAATTTCTCTCACGTGTCCAGTGGTTGTTTGGGAGGATTAACTAACATATCGTATCTCTTACTATTATTTCTTGCCCAAAGAGAATGCTTTATAACAATAAAAATTTTAAAGGCAGGAGAATAAAATTATGCCATTTTCTTTTGAAACATTTTTTACCACCTCGAGGAAAATTAAAAGAAACAGATAACCAGATGAGGAAGAAAGACCTGGATATCCCAGTTCTAGAAATTTATCCTAAGGAATTAATCAGAGGTATAGTCAAAGATTTAGACCCAAGGACATTCACCTGAAGCACATTTAAGGATGCCAAAAAATTAAAGTACCTGATGTCCAGAAATAGTAATTAAATAAGGGTACATCTAATACAATATATTAGGCCGCTGTTAACTTATGCTTTCAGATTTCATGATAGGGGAAAAATGCTCATGATGTTGTATTATGTAAAAGCAAGATACAATATTACATATAATCTCACTTTTAGGAAACATGCCAAAATATGCCTATCTTTGGGTAGTGGGATTATGAATAATTTTTTTCTTTATCCCTCTCTGAATTTTCCATGTGTGATTATGACTGGTTTTATTTTTTAAATTATAAATTAAAAATTCAAAGTCAGAAGTAAGTGTTAATCGTCTCCCTTTTACAAAGCCTTAGAGGTATATCCTTTTCAGACCTACTCTTATTTAAGAGGAAACAGACCTGGGATACTTTTATTTTCCCAGCTCAGCTACCCAGCTATGAAGGAGCCTGGGAAACCCTTTTATTATTATATATATATATATTTTTTTTTTTTTAAAGATTTTATTTATTTATTTGACAGAGAGAGACACAGCGAGAGCAGGAACACAAGCAGGGGGAGTGGGAGAGGGAGAAGCAGGCTCCCCGCCGAGCAGGGAGCCTGATGCGGGGTTCGATCCCAGGACCCTGGATCAGGACCTGAGCCGAAGGCAGACACTTAATGGACTGAGCCATGCAGGCACCCCTATAATTTCTAATACAATGTTAAAAGTAACTAAAACGTCTGTGTGTGTGTGTGTGTGTGTGTGTGTGTGTGTGTGTGTAAAACGCATTATTCCTATATCCAAAGGAAATGAAGACACTAACTCAGGTATCTGCACGGCTGTGCTCACCACAGCTGAGACGTGGAAACAACCCGGGTGCCCACAGATGAACGGATAAACAAGTCATGCTGTACACATAATGGAATATTATTCATCCATGAAAACTCTGCAAATCCTCCCACTGCAACGACAGGGATGGATCTTGAAGGCATTACGGTCGGTAAATAAGTCAGGGCAAGACAATACTGTATGATCTCCCTTAGATGTGGAACTGAAAAAACCAGAACAGAACCATGCTCACAGAAAGAGATCAGCCTTGGGGTCACCAGAGGCGGAGGGCAGGGAGAGGGGGAGTTGGAGGAAGGTGGTCAGAAGGCACAAACTTCCAGGGTAAGGTCAGTAAGGACCGGCGATGTGACGCATGACATGATGACCACGGCTCTGAATGCTATATGATGGGTCAGTTTTAAGACAGTAAATCCTAAGAGTTCTCATCAAAAGGAAATTTTTTTCTTTTTTCTTTTCTTTCTTTTCTTCTTACTGTATCTATACAAGAAGATGGATGTTAGCTGAACCTACTGTGTACTCATTTCACAATATATGTAAATCAAACCATCATACTGTACACCTTAAACTTACACAATGATGCATGCCAATTATTTCTCAAAAAAAACTGGAAAGAAACTGACTATTCTCAAAGAAACCCTTAAAAGAGAAAGATTGCCCCTATAGGGTTTGTGCACCTGCCCCCCCACATGGTCTGTCACTTGGGGATCTTAGTTCCTCTCAGAGTTGGGTGACTGTCTCAGAAAGGTGGTAGTTTTGGAGGAACCCCAAACCAATGTTTCAATGCAGACTCCCTAAGGGATTTTACTGACCGTTTTAAGATTTCTGGGAAAAAAGGAGAGGCAGATCTCTGATGGACAATACTTGCCACCAACTGGGAGTAGAAATGAATGAACAATGCATTCATTTAGGAAGCATCTTTTAGAAGACAAAACGGGGGTGTCCCGGTAAATGTGAGTGAAGCAACATGAACAATGGAGCTGTAGCTCTGATAGCTTGGTGCACGTGCATTTATTGACAGGCCCCCAAAAAGGAGGTCCTTCGGAGGGAAAAGGGACCAGCATTTTTCCTGGCAGCAACGAAATGGTCCACGGCTAAGCCCAGTGGATGCGCATGGCCTGGCCGAGTGCCAGTGTGGGTGGCCAGGTCTGGGTCCAGCGTGGCCCTGCTCTTCCTACAAATGCAAATGCCCCATCTAGCTACTGCCTTTATCTTTCACAAAATCATTCATTTCCTGTCTGTTTCCTAGTTACAATAACAATCACAAGCTTTAAAAATAGCTTGCCCTATATAATACAGCAGACAGTACCCAATCTGTGTTTCAGGCCTGATGCCCTCACAGATAAAGTTTGGGCAGAATGCATTTTAATTTTTTCAAGGGAATTAGATCCTAAAAATAAATGAATTATGTTGTCCCAATTTATAACTAAATTTCTAGGTGAGAATGTAGAAGTCGATGAGGTGACTGAACTACCTATAGGCAACCACAGGCAGAGAAAATGGACTGTCCACAGGGAGCGGCCCCGTCCTCAGGACCATGGACACGAACTCCTCACCGTCAGCAACTCAGCCTCACACCTGCTTGTGCAGCCTGGCCTCAGGCTGCCTTGACTACAGTTTAGCTAAACACATTACCCAACCTCTGAGTCAGCTCTACCTCCAGAGCTCCCTGTTTCACTTACCCTCCCAATCATCTAGGCTTAAAATACTGGTATGAGTTTGCACTTTGTTCCTCTGGACCCTAATATTCTGTCAATTTTAGCTGCACAATCTCCTTGATATCATCCCCTCCTCTGCAGCTTCCCGAGCGCTAACCTAGCCCTCATCATCTCCCCTCTGGACGCACTGCTCTAAGCTTCCACTGTGCCTGTCCCCAGCTGTGGACCTTCCAGGCTAATTTCTGAAGCACATCATGGATTTGAGGGCTTCCTTAACCAAAAACCTTCACTTGTTTCCTACTGCACTGAAGAAGTCCCTGTGAAACCCTCTCTTGATGATACTGGAATACATTGCTCCGCTGAGGACTGCAGCCCAGAGACAAAGCCTACATTCTTGGGCTTGCCATTCAAAGCGAAGCTATTTATCTTTACTTATCCAACCAACTCCCCTTCATCTGCCCTTTTCCTCACACACACACTGAGCTACTGCTCTTAGATGGACCTAAGTTTCCCTGACGTTTGCTTGCTCAGACTTTTACCTCCACCAAAATACCATCCACCCCTCAATTCCCAGCTCTGACAGTTAACCCAGACATTCCTGATCAAACCAGCCAAAAGCAACCTCCCCTGCTTCCTTCCAGGCTTGCAGCACTTTGATTTATATTTCTTTAAGGCACTGATGATATTTATCCATTCATTCATCGCCTGGCGCATTGTCTTTAGTTATCCATCATGTCTCCTCTGCTAGACTATAAACTTGAGGCAAAATCCATGTCTGAGTTATCCTTTTATTACCTAAAGAGGCTAAAAAGACAGGAAACCAATACTGAGTGTTTACAATGCTGAGAAACTCACACACGTTATCTCAATTAATCCTCCCGAGTCTCACAGAGTTGGGTGTTCTCATTTTACAGAACACAGAGGTTCAAAGCGGTTAGTCACCTCACCCAAGTTCACAGAGCTGGTGAAGAAGAGAGTCTACTCTGAACATACTCCAAGGTCTGCCCATTAATACGAGCCTCCGGACACCACTTGACGCTAAGTAGATAAAACATGGATTAATAAGCATCCCTTAAATGAGAGAGGCTGTCATCTTCTATGTATTAGAAGCCAACTTCATGCAGTACACAAGGATAAACTTATCTCCTTTATGTATACTCAAACTGGACAACAAAACAAAACAAAACAAAAACACTGAACTGGGGCGCCTGGGTGGCTCAGTCGGTTAAGCGTGTGCCTTCGGCTCAGGTCATGATCCTGGGCTCCCTGCTCAGTGGGGAGCCTGCTTCTCCCTCTGCCCCTCCCCCTGCTTGTGCACACTCTCTTTCTCTCTCTCAGGTTAATAAAATCTTAAAAAAATCTAACCACAAAAGGCGGCCCATCACTTCATAGCTGCAGCACACGCGCAGAAAAGAGGCAACAATAACATACAGACAAAGCCCAACTCAGCACAAAAATTCCATTTTTGTTTTCAGAATTACAATTTTTTTTTTTAAATCCCACACCTATGAGGGATCTAGAAACTTGAAGAGGGAAGGGACTGGTTAAGTAAAGGGAAAGAAGGATTTTGGAAAGGACATACGAGGTCTGACGAGTTAGGCAGCAGCTGTGACAGTAAGGCGGCGACGAGAGCCGAGTTTAGCTTGGGTATTTCTCTCAGGTCTTCTGCACAAGAACAAGCCACTCCTGAGTGACTTGAGGAGATGACAAAGGTCAACAAAGCCAAAGTACAACACTTGTGGACCAAAGTGAGTGCCCGGCCAACCAGTACACTCGAGCCTTTCCAACACGTCTGTACCTTTGGCGTGTCGACACATTCCTCTTCCATGAATGCTGCTTCCGCCGGGCAGCCAGATGCCGGGAATGAAAAGGCCTCTACGTTGGACGCCGGAGGGAGGAGAGCGGACCGCATCAGCCGCATGTTTGGTGAGTGCACGGTCACTGGGAGCCCCACCGTCTGTGCCTGCAAATGTGGCGAGAACAGTTTGGGAACATTAGTACTTTCTATACAAATGTACAAAATTGTTGGAATAAAATAACTCTTCCTGGTACAATTAAAGAATAAGTTTTATTTGTTGGAACCCCAGAAAAAATTTGATAAAAAATATATATGGTATGGGTACTGATGTGAACCAGTCTCAGTTTCATTCCTGTTCCACAATGAGGTGCCTAACTTTCACAGAGACAACAAGAAAGCTGGTCTCTGTAAAGAACCTAAGAATGCTGTTTTTTAATTCAACAAACATATATTGTCTATATCCTTAAATATGTCACCATGGAAAGCTATAAAGAATAAAAAGTTCCTGTGTCTTCAGAACTCAGAACTGAACCGGGGTACACACACACAACTTACCCAGAACACAAAGTGTACTGCACTTTGTTTTTCTGGTGGGGTGAGATGGTGTGTATTTCTTGACAAGGGTACATGTGCAGAGAAAGACAAGAGAGGGGGCAGCTACTTGGAGGTGACAGGAGTGTCCTCCTTCCCACGAGGTGCAGAAACTGAACACAGCCTGTTGGCCCAGTGGAAAGCGAGATGCTCATTGCCGAGCAACTTATGTTCCTGAAGTCAACCTACTGTAGAAAGCTCCAGATGGTTTTCAGCCCATTTTCATGTCTTGTTTGTTAAGAACGCTAAGTAAACAAACATTACAAACTCTTCTTTTAAAAAATCATATGGGGGTGCCTGGGTGGCTCAGTCGGTTGAGCATATGACTATTGATTTTGGCTCAGGTCATGATTTCAGGGTCGTGGGATAGAGCCCCAAGTCAGGCTCCATGCTCAGTGGGGAGTCTGCTTCCCCTCTGCCCCTCCCTTCACTCCCATTCTCTCGCTCTCAAATAAATCTTTAAAAATATAATAAAAAAATCATATAACAGAGAATCTTTCTTTAGGACAACTGGTAAGGATTCGATTTGATGTTTTTTTGGGGGCAAGGATTGATTTTAAAGATGAAACTATTGGATAATCCTTCCCTCCCATCAGATGTTTTTTGAACATAATGGACACTGCCAAACATTTGAAGGAACATACTAGTGTCTAAAAGGCAGAGGCATGGCCTATTTTTTCCCTACTATAATCACGTGAAGGGACATAAGGTGGTAAGTTTTAAATTCAAACAAAAAGGAACGATATTGGTATGATTTTAGCTTCTCTCCTCCAGAGACCTGGGTGTGATTCCTGGCTCCATCCCTCACTGTGAACTGCCTAACCTCTGAGTCCTGTTTTCTTTACCTAGAAAAGGGCACAATGCCTATTACACAGTGAAGTTAGGATTACAAAAGGTAACATGAAAGGTCCTTCACTCAGTAATGTTAATTCTGCCCTTCTCCTTCCTTGTAAAGTCGTGAAAAGATCACAGGGATCTAATACAGGAATTAGTCTGCAAATGCATAATTTTGTTCTCAGATATTATCTAATGATTCTCTGCTAAAATTTTAGGTTAATGGTCTTTGACGATAGGGGGTGTGTTAGAAATAGACCTTATATTTGAATATACTTTGAATATATTTAGAATATGCTTTATGTTTGGTACATTCCAACATTAACATCATTAGATATGCTGCGTGAGATAAGGAATAAAGTAGCATTAGCCAAGTGTTGGTATCATATGGGTGGTAAAAACAGAAAAAAAGTACACTGCAAACGATCCTGAGCATGATAAAGAAAAGGCTTTTCTTAGATCATCATTCCTCACACTTATTTCCTGGGCCACTTTTGAGACTAAACAACTTTTTTCCTTTCAAGCATTAGTCATGTAGATTAATTTTTTAAGTCCTCATGTCACAATGTAAAATGTAAACTTCCTAATAGGGTATATTTCATGCATTCTTTTTACCCTTATCATCAGCTTTTCAATCAAAGGATAAAGTTGAACTTTAATTTCTGGTTCCTAAATTTATTAGGCTGCTCTTTGCGAAATAATTTAAATTATTAGGGAAAAGCATTATTTAAAGATACTGCACTGGAAATGAGGTACTAACATGATAACTAGGGTGTGCTGTCCTTCTCAGTCTGCCTCTTATTAGCTGTGACTTTTTAAATGGCAGGATCATGCTATGCCAGACCAAGCGTTACACATTTTCCTTGACAAATTTCACGTCCAACCTGGACTACAGCAACAACTTACTGTGAGCTTGGTATGGTAAGAGGAGGAACATATTTTATTGTGACAACCACTTCATAGGAAATAGGATGGTAGGGTTTTTTTTTTTTTTTTTTTTTTAGGATTCTTGCAATCACTGAAGGGATTAAAGAAGTCTTTTTGGAACAAGGTTGGGTGAAAATATTCAAATGGCATGCTCGGCACTATAGAGTGGACTAAAGAATATGTTATTTTAATACACAGATGGATGATTAATATCCCAAGGAAGCAGACTTTACGAGTTTCTTCAAGAGTGGCAACAGACAATGCTCATGTCCAATTATAATGGTTTTTATTTTATTTATTTATTAAATATTTAATTAATTTATTTATTTGACAGAGAGAGAGACACAGAGAGAGGGAACACAAGCGGGGGGGGGGCGGGGGGGAGAGGAAGCAGGCTTCCCGCCGAGCAGGGAGCCCGACCGGGGCTTGAGCCCAGGACCCTGGGATCACAACCTGAGCGGAAGGCAGATGCTTAATGACTGAGCCACCCAGCAGCCCCAATTGTAATGACCATGTATTTATCGTCTTGAATCTCTTCTGATTTTGTGCTTTTTAGAATAACCATTACAATGAAAATAATGTTTTCTCCTATGGGAAAATCTTTACTGCTCCAATAGGAATATGCTGGTTATGACAGACTTGTGTGTCTCCCCTCAACCCCGCAGTCTGTATGTTAAAGCCCGAAGGCCCAGTGCAGCTGTCTTTGAACAGAGAGCCTTTCAGGAGGTAATTAAGGTTATATGAAGTCATAAGGGTGGGCTCCCAATCTGACAGGACTCGTGTCCCTCTAAGATGAGGGTGAGACACCAGATATCTCTCTCTCTGCACATGCAGAGGAAAGGCTATGTGAGGGCCCACTGAGTAGGCAGCTGAGAGTTCTCACTAGAAGTTAATCTTGCTGGCACCTTGACCTTGAACTTTCAGCCTCCAGAACTGTGAGAAAATAACCTTTTATGATTTAAGCCCCCCAGTCTGTGGTACCCCGGGGCCAACTATACAATGCTTTTTCTAATAGCTGTAGAGGGCAACCTCTCATCAGTGATTAAAGAAGTGGGATGAGTGTTTCACTCTTGTCTACTTACAGTTGATAGAAACTTGGGGCAGAAGGGCTAGCAGTTAGGATTCATGAGAGAAGGCATGACACGAGTTTCTTCTAAACAGTTGTCTATGGTCAACTAGAGGGAACATTTCTTGCATAGTATATGGCAAATGTAAGTACTCTAAATCATTCTGAGATAGGACTCTCACTGTTTTCTAAGTAGTAATAATGGGTACTTTCTCACTAGACCATACATTCTTTAGGGGCAGGGACTATTTGCTGGGGACCTCTGACGCCACGGTGGCAGGGACTGGGCCTGGCGCAGAAGTGCTCTGTTTGCTGAACTGAGCTGCTGGTACAAGTTACCTAATTTTATCTTTGTAGCAAACTCATGAAGTAGATATTGATATTTCCATTTTATATTTAAAGACACTGGAGCTGAGAGAGCCTGGCTTGCCAGTCACACAGCTCCGTATTGAACCCAAGGTCCACGTGATTCCACAGCTCATGTGATCTTTGCATGGGATTACTTTGCTTCCCCAATTTCCTATTGTTATACCAACTAACACGTGATCTGCCACTTCTTTAAGCCAATAGCAGAACAAAGAATTAAAGAGAGAAGGCTCTACTGAAACTAAGTGCAGAGAAATCTATTTTTTAACAAGTTCAACAAAACATGAGAATGTGAAATCTCATAGGGAAGGGAGCATCTTCTTCAGCCCTAGTGCCTGCTACCTTAGCATCCAGAAGGCACTCTAAAGAAGTCTGTGAATGAACACTGAAGACTTCCACTTGAATTAGATACATTTTTAAGTCCCAGTAAGTAGCTTTCTATGACAACTTAGGCCAATGCATAAAATGAAAAGAATTCATGTGGTGCTTGGTAATAAAAAACAATTATCAAACGTTAAGAAGCCATGTTATACATCTGAACTCTCAGCCAAATTAAACATAATTTGAGCTTTCCTAGGGAATCTGCTTCAAGCTTAGATAAGAAAGGCAATCATGTGCAATAATAATATGCATGTGCCCAGGGTCGATCATTTACGTAACCCGTGCCCTCGCCTGTGTACTACGAACAAGAATAAAGAGACTTGGGAGGGAAAGCCTGTACAGCACTGGGGGCTTCCCTGTTTCCTCTCCTTCTGCCTGGCAGCATTTTCCAGAGGGAAGGGGTACCTCTACATCTCACTTTTACTACTCCGATTGAGGGATTCTCATTTTATCCCCCTCCTCTCTGGAAAGCAAAACCATTCAACATTGAAGGATTCTAACTGCTCAGAGATACTCTAATCTGGAACTTTATCTATGCATTACTCATATTAATATCAATATTCACATTATTTTATATATTAAAGTGTGTATAACAGTGTATACCACTTGCCTACTAAAATCAAGATACTAATTTTGTTGGTCCCTCCCCCCGCAACATGTTCTATAGAAGCCAATGCAAAACTCTAGTAAATCCTATAAATTTTGTAAACTGCCAAACGAGAAATACAAAGTCAGAACTTCTCAGCTCTTCCTCGCCCTTGGAACAGAGTAAAGCACTCACAGAAGTGGATGGAAATCCTAATAGACTGTACGCATGTACCATGCCTCTTTCTCAACCTCTCTGCAGATGATTTCCCACCTCCCGTCAGCCTCAGCCTCTGTCCTGGCATCCAGATCCATTCTTCGCGTCAAGCAACCAAGTCAGTGCCACCACTTACTCTCCCTCCTTCGGGCTCGAGAAGAGAGTCGCCTCTAAAGCACTGTTGTCCCTTGCTCCCCAACATTTCCTTCTTACTTTACAGAATCAACATGTATAGGGCACATTCGAAGTGCTGCACAATTATCAACTAATTCAAACATCAGAACAGTCTCTAATTTTCCTCGTTTTATAGTTTGGGAAACTGAGGCACAGAACGACCTAAGGTAACTTTCTGAAGGACAGGCAGCAGGAAAGGGCTGCACCTGGGGTCTGCGCCAGGGCACCTGCGTTAACCACCGCTGAGTCCGTCCAGAGTCCACCCGAGACGGTCTGGGCCCATCCGCTCCACTCTGCTCCCACCAGCACCGTGTTAGTTCAAGCCTCCAGTATTTCTCAGCCCCTCACTGCTTTCCCCCAAGTTCTTCTCGTCCCTGTGCAATCTACCCTTCCTGATGTCACAGATTAGTCAGCCTAAAGCCTGGATGGGATTTTATCACTCTCCTGCTTCTGTCTCCAGTTGTTCCTCAGTATTTCCTGAATCGTAAGTAAAAAGTCTCTCCTTTGGCTTTCGAAGCATGGCTTCAACTTACCACGCCAGCTTTTTCATTTCCCTGTGCGCTTCAGTTCAGTCCCCTACACTTACCCACTCAGCGCTTCTGCTGCCTACGTACAATGCCTTCAACCCTGCTTCTCCCTGGCAAAGGCCCACACACCCCTGAAGATCCGAGCCCTGTGGGAAATGCTAACCCTCCCGTGAAGCCTTTCCTAGGCAGATGTGTCGCTCCCCCCTTTGCCCGTGGTTCTTCTCCCAGATTTACCTTTCTCTATTTTGAACGATGGTTACTTATGATGATGTCTTACTTTGTTTTTATACTGTCATGACTCTGAGGGCCGTGTCCGGGTTTTATGTATTTCATCCCCTATCATGCCTAATGTAGAAGCTTGCATACGGTAAATCTGCAGTAAAAATTCATTAAATGGAATTGAGTGTACAGGCTAGTGACATTAATTCCCACCATAAATCAATGATTAAAAAATGAGAAAACTCTTAAAGAAAAAAAACTGAAATAAAATTAATCCTTAGAAATAGGAAGATGCAGGGGCGCCTGGGTGGCTCAGTTGGTTAGGTGTTTGCCTTCGGCTCAGGTCATGATCCCAGGGTCTTGGGATCGAGCCCCACATCAGGCTCCCTGCTCAGCGGAGAGTCTGCTTCTCCCTCTGCCTCTGCCTCCTCCTCCCCCCTGCTCATGCTCTGTCTCCCACTCTCTCTGTAAGATAAATAAAATCTTAAAAAAAAAAAAAAGAAAGAAGATGCTAAAACATTTGAGAATCTAGGAAGTGACGGGCAGAAACTTTACAGAAGAACTGCGTGTAGAGGATGAGATCCTAACCCCCATTGTACTACAAGATGAAAAATGTGTCAAACATGTGAACAGGCACCTGCAAGATAAGACCACTGGCTAATGCGGCGTTACCTTGGCAACTGTTTGTTCAGCCACGGTGCTAGGCCGCCGCTGGCGGGCATCGAGTCTCTGCTCCACGGGAAAACTGCTCCGATGTGATTTCAGGCGCTCCACCAACAAGTAATAAATGGCAGCAAAGTGGTTATAGCTCTTGTTCTGCAAAGACTGAAAGAGAAAACAAGTGCTGAAGGCAGAGAAGCATAAAAGCCAGTCCAGTGATCTACATCTTTCTGAAAAAGGAGGGCAGAAATCATGAGAGAGTCACGAACAAAGTGTGTCTAGAACAAAAGCTGTTCCAGAATTCAGAAGAACAGGGAGCTCTGAGTTTTTAGTGCTGATTACACGAAGGCTGATGCCCCTAAGTGACTGGCCCGTTTACAGTAACAGGCTCCACCTGCTTTTCTGTGTGCAGGAGGGACGCCACTGCTGTCTCATGCGTAGGTCCCCAGTGCTGCCCATGGTCCCATCTCCTCGTTGTGACCATGGTGTAAGGTCCCTTACAACCTGGGCCCACGGGCTCGAACTCCACAACTTTGGCACAAGTCCAAACTGCTGCAAACTCTGAAATGAATGATTAAAGTCTTTGGGGAAGTTTCCGGTGATTATTTGGGCTGGAGAGCGACGTTTGGAGGCCGAGCTGAGAGACACTGTGTCTCCGTTCTTAGGTAACTTTTTCCTCTTGTTTTTGCAGTCCCACCCTCTTGAAGCCTTGAAAATAAAGTTGCTTCCCAATTTTTCACATCCCTCGCCAGCCAGCTTTCCCAGGGTACTAGTGGAACAGAGGAACAACTGCTCTTGTGGCTTCTAATTCAGCCTGACCGTCGGCATGGGCGCTGTGCAGGGCGCTCTGGGTGCAGAGCACGCACAACAGAAGTCACAGGCCCATGGGGCTGCCCTCCCAGCGGCCCTTCGGGGTCTGCTTCACGGCCGAGGACAGAAACACGCCGCTGAGCGCAGGACAAACAAAGCAGTAGGGCCAGTCTGGCTTGGCTCTCAGCAGCACAGTTTGGAGCACTGTAAGTTCACAAGAGGCATTTTGTATTCTTTCTTGTTATGCCTCCTCTGTAAGAGCACTGTTGGTTTTTTGCTGTTGTGGAGGTCAGGAAAATGTGTTTCTCCTAGGAATATACGCACTACTAATGGACAGAAATAAGAGAGGAGGAATTTCCCAGGCTCACGACCCTCAGTTCTACGACCGAGAGTACTTCCAAATCTGGAATCCACCTGTTTCTGCCTTCTCAGCTTCCCCAGCTCACAGCCTACACCCCACTGGCTTTCCTGTTTCCTGATCGGCCCTCAGCCTTGTTCCCTAGCTGTACATTTATGTTGCATTTAAACTAGCTTATGATCTGGATAAAACTTCATGCTTCACCTTAGATGAAATTTTCTACTTTGTATTTGTTAAGTTTTCATCTTTGTCTTTTCCCCATCCTATATAAACTCCACCTCTTGAATTTTTTGGCAGATGGGGCAAAGGCAGGAATTCATATATTGAATAAAAAAGCAAACATGAAATAGAGTCTGACTGTAATCTTCAGGGAAAACTAAACAGTATGCCTAGGTGTTGGGGGTGGCTGTGCCGGAAGACCGTCAGTAAAATCTCTGATCACTTTACCTCAATGGTTTTCTGCTGATCTATTCCAAGGCTGTGCATCAATCGCAGAACCTGTTCATTAAATTCCCCAATGGATGGTTCATTTTCTTGCCCTTGTGGATAGAGAACAGGTCTCTGTACAGGAACTTCTACGAGCATCCATTTATGCTCCTTGATTTGAGCTATCGTTAGCCGTTTGGACGGGTCTAGGACCAACATCCTTCGAATAAGGTGCTCACAATCTATGGAAAACACAATGTTACAAAAGTCATATAAATCACCTTGCACTTCAGGGTACTGGCTTGACTCATGTGACTCTGCACAATGGCATTAATCTCTGTATCCTCCACAATGTCCACTGGAAAGCAGAAGGTCAAATGAATAAATGAACACAGGAAAGCCAGTTGTACTGATCAGATTCCCATGGTGAATGTTGACACAAAAGTAACCACCACTGAGAATGAATACTTAAGAAAATCAGGAGGGTGTAGGTCTGTCCAATTTTGTGCTAAATGAACCTTTCTATTGAATTTCTCAAGTGAAAAGATCTAGCCACAGACTTAGATTCTGCTGAAGACAAAAGCAAGCCTTCTCCTAGAATGAGCATCATACACATGGAGCCCCAGTCACTTCTGAGGCTGACACACCAGAGGCTACGTGTGTGAGGCAAGAGCTCTCCAGAGGACTGCTGCTCTTCTCCTGTCAGTGCAGCTGAGAAAAACACACATGAAGCATTAGTTACTTCTGATTATATTACAAAAACTGCACTGCTGTGACTTGGGCACCAACTTATTCTCGGAGCGGACATCATGCTCTCTACCACCCCACAGAAGCTAGCCTCATACCCTCTGCTATGTGCCAGGCACCATGCAAGCTGCTTTACACAGATTACTTCCATTCATCTTCACAGCGCCCTTACCGGGAGCCACTGTTCTTCCCATGTTGTAGCCTGAGGACACGGAAGCACAGGGAGGGGACATAACTTGTCAAAAGCAGACTGCCAGTAAGTGGTGGACTCGAGATTAAAACCAGGCAGCCGGGTTCCAAGGTCTATGCTCTTAACTACTAGAGCTTTATTTCTACCATGACTAGGAACGAAAGAGTTAAGGATGACCACCAAAACCTGAGGAGGAAACGTAGCTGAGCAACAACCCAACTGGTTGTACGTAACAAGCTAATCCAAGTCAGGCTGGGGCCAGGGCACTGCATCTTAATCCAACAGCTTCGCCAGTTTTTAATTCAATTAAAAAATGTAATTTTGCAACTTCTCACCAAAAGATATAGGAAAACTATTTCATAGAGTAAAATGGTTGTGAATCTATCTCCAAAGTGCTTCTCTAAGTCTAAAATAAACTGGGGACATTTATAGACCCAGAGTACATGCGAAGACTTGCTGTTCTTAACCTGGAAAGCTTTCCGTTTTCAGTTACAAGTAGGAAGGCTACAGCTTCTCTCACCTACATGGAGGGGGCTGCTTACTTCTATAGCTTTTCAAGTGACTCAATCACTTTGTTTGGCACCCAAACTCTTAGAACAAGGGAAGCCTTTGCCGAGGCATTTCATTCGGAGCACAAATTCTATAAAGCACAAGTATAAGACAAACCGGTTACCTTCTGACATGAAATAAGGAATCCGGAATCTTCCTTCTAAAACTCTCTGCCTCAAAATTGGAAGAGTCGGTCCATCAAAAGGCAGAGCTCCACAGACAAGGACATAAAGAACAACTCCCATGCTCTAGGGTAGAAAACAAGGCAGTCACTTTTCCACTGAGGACTTTAAACACTCTTTGTTTTCCTAAACATCCCCAGGGCCCTTAAAATCATACGGGCTGAAAAATTCCTGTTTGGATTTACTATTTTCTCAGAATTTCAAAACAACACAAGACAAAGCAAAACTAAAACTCTGACTACTGCAATAAAATATCCTATAATAAATACTCAAAGATCTGAATTTAATCATTTTGATTACTACTTAACGTTAAGTTATGGCCGATATTAAAGTAATAACATCTGTCCTTAGACGTTCTTTCCTAGAACTTAATTCAAAAATGCTCTAATTACAGTCCAGTGGACAGGGAAAGTATGAACTACTACCTATGTGTTAGGTACCAAGAGCTTCAAAGACAGGCCAAAGTACCAGTTATTACCGTTAGAGATGCATTTAACACAGCAAAGGAAAGAAATACCCAGATATCCAGCTGCGGTCCTTCATACTGCTGCCCTTCAAAGACTTCTGGGGCTGCATAAGGGGGGCTGCCACACCACGTTGCCAGCAGTTCACCACTTTTAAAGAAATTTCCAAAACCGAAATCTATTGGAATGGAAATAAATGTTACTTTCATCTATGCTCTCAACTATACTGAATTTCTTGTAGTAAATTTTACAATATGCTGTATCAACAATAGCACTGCTATGGCATCCGTCTTGTGCTGTGTCTGCAGCACTGAGCACAATGTCTAGAAAATATCAAGTATTCCATAAATATTTGTTGAATGAATGTATAAATAAATCAAGTTTTCTTCTCAAAGAGAATGAGTGAGAGGTTGGAAAAAGACTTTAGAATCATGTATTTTTTTTTCTTTAAAGATTTTATTTGACAGAGAAAGACACAGCGAGAGAGGGAACACAAGCAGGGGGAGTGGGAAAGGGAGAAGCAGGCTTCCCGCCGAGCAGGGAGCCCGATGCGGGGCTCGATCCCAGGACCCTGGGATTGTGACCTGAGCCAAAGACAGACGCTTAACAACTGAGCCACCCAGGAGCCCCTAGAATCATGTATTTTTAAGTCTATTGGTGTAGACAACCAACTTGAATTTGAAAATCTTAGAGTTTCAATTACTCCATGATTAAGCGCTCTCCATCTTTTTTTTTAATTAAAAAAAAAATCCTTTTTTCAGTAAGCTCTATACCCAAATGGGGTTTGAACTCATGATCCTGAGATCAAGAGCCACATTGCTTTACCGACTAAGCCAGCCAGGCACCCCAAGAGCTCTTTATCTTTTATAGTCTATAAAGAAACAAATGAGTAAAATTTTAAGATATTTACCTAAACACAACTGAGTGACTGGCTGCTCTTGCAGCCATTACCCAGAGTAGCAAGATATATTTTATACCTTTATTTATACCTTTTAAAGCAACTGAGTATAGTGTTTCTTAGGTAACAATTCTCTAAGCGTTGGCCTACACATTCTGATTTAGGCAGATATGCATCTGAATAGCTCACTAATATGTGTTGGCTCTCTGGCCCGCCAGCCACAAGCCACCTATCACCAGTATCACTTATTCACTCATTTATGGAGTGCAGTGGCATTATACCTCTAAACAGTTAATGATCTTCCTTTTATGACATTAGTCATACTGAATCTACAGCTTTGATAGACAGCAGGCTCTTTGGAAACACTGTATTCAGATGCTTTCACTATGCATGAAAATTACAGAAGACAAATTTCAGTGAGTTTTGGTATAAATGCAAGCCTGTACCCTTTTGCCAAGCTCTATTCTTACTGAGGAAACAAATTCCTATTATTCTGTAAGTTATACGAATACTGTCTTCTGTTGTAAACACTGCTGACAGGACACTCCTTAGTAAACTGGCTCTACTCCCAGCTAGTATACGGTGCTGCATGGACGGTGAGCTTCAAAAGGTGTCCTAAGGGGCACCTGGGTGGCATAGTCGGTTGAATGCCCAACTCTTGATTTCAGCTCAGGTCATGATCTCAGGGTCCTGAGATTAGGCCCTGCATAGGGATCAGCGCTCAGCGAGGAATCTGCTTGAAATTCTCTCTCTCTCTCTCCCTTTGCCCCACCCACTTGTGCTCTCTCTCTCTCTCTAAAATAAATACATCTTTAAACGATAAAATAAAAGGTGTTCTAAGAGGACTGGATCGAGTTGCCAGTGCCAGACTCACTGGCTATGTGACTTTGTATCAGTCTCTGTGAGCCTTGGCTTCCCTATCTGTCAAGTTGAAATAATAAATATCTGTAGTCCCCAAGTTGTGAAGATCACTGAGTTAACATAAACTCACACTCTAGTCACACCTTGAGACTACGGCACACAGTAAGTATACTGTAGGCGAAGCATTCTCCTAGCTCCCGGACACACCCACTGGCGGCAAGCAGTAGCGACAGTAAGAGGAGTCACCATCCCCAGCACCACAGCCCTACGGCAGAGTACAAACTCTCAAGTTAGGGAGAACTAGAGCAGAGTTCCACTTTTCCCACTTTTCTAGCTTCAGGTTTCCTTTGTAGATTATTTAACTTCCCGAATCTAAGTTTTTATATCTATAAATGTAGTGATAATCCACCTACCCAGACAGGATGCCGTGAGGCTTAAATGAGATTAAACATGTAAAGTGCCTGGAACATAGATGTCAAATGTCAGCTCCCTTCTTTCGTGAAGCCATCATTATCAACTACCACCTTTCAGAGAAAAAGGTTCTGAGAAAGTGTACAGGAAGGGCAGAAAAGTGTAGAGAACCCTGAGGGTTCAGAAGACAAATGAGGGTGCATGTGGGCAAGAGCCTCAGACACTGTCTACACCTGGTGGAACAACACCATGCTCTGGTCCTGGCATCCAGGAGTAGGAGGCAATGAGAACCTCTCCCTTCATAATGGGACCACAGCTCAGTCCTACACTCCACTTTCCAAAAGGACTGCCAGAGAGGTCTCATCTTCTCAGGTCCACCTCCATGACTAACCACTCCTATGACATCATAACCCATATGTCCTTATTGATGCACATTTCTAATTTTCTAGAAAAACTATACTCTCAAATGAGTCAAGGACTATATGTTCAAATAACATTTGAAGAGGAAAATGTTAATTTCACTTACATAGAGAAGCACCAGAAGCTCTAGTATGTGTGTTTGGAGATCCTGAAATAGGTCCAATATTGCTCTATTTAAACCATAATCACAGGATGAGTTTTAGGTCATGCAAGTTGAGGATACCCTCCAAATAACACCGTAAAGTTTTAATGTCTCAAGAGCCGTTTGGCCTTGAGACTCCTCCTCCTACAATTTGGCCTTCCCTGGACTCCGGTGGAAAGTGTCATCTCAAAGGAGTGACGGGGCCTGGTGGCCTGGCCTCCTTACTACAGAGGCTCTCACTGGTATGCCTCATAGGCAAGAAGAGAGCAAGAGCTAGGAAAGCACAGCTGTGCCTATGGCAGCCCAGTCTCAACTGTGGCTTTACACAACTAGAACAAAGAAGATGTCTGTTAACTTCCGAGGAGAGTGGTATTAAGCAGTCTGTTAACTTCCAAGGAGAGTGGTATTAAGCAGTTCTTCAGTTCCCGACAGTTTCCTGTCGGGAACTGAAGAAAATAAACCAAGAGCCAGTGGCAACATTAAAAGAAATGCCAAAAGACAACTGGGTTCACTAAAGCTATTACAGTAGCATATATGCAGATGCCTTTATTATTATTATTTTTAAGTAGGCTCCACATACAGTGTGGAGCCCGACGTGGGGCTTGAACTCCATGACCCTGAGATCAAGACCTGAGCAGAGATTGAGAGACGCTTAACTGACTGAGCCACCCAGGCGTCCCCAGATGTCTTCTATAACCTTGTCAAAGCATTTAAACATTGTATTTGTAATCATATGAGGCGGGTTAAGGAAGACTTTGGAGTCATGACGGTAGATTAGGATCAAATCCTGGGTTGTCCACTTAGCTTGGGCAAATGTGTGATCTTGGGCAAATTACTTCTTAGAGCCTTGGTTTCCACATTTGCAAAATGGGGACAATATCTACACTTCATCAAGTTAAGTTACAACGAATGGGTAGACAAGTAGACTTATAAGTAGATATTATATAATGCTTTAGGCATGCTATTGAAACATACTGAGTAAGCAACCCAAGAGGAAAAGAGCAATTCTTCTTACTATTTTACTTACCTATTTCCCCCATCAGACTAAATTTCTTGAGAAGGGAAGGGAGAAATGATACATATCTGTACTCCCAGCACTTAGCATGTGGGCTGTAGACAACAGTCATTCAATAAAGGTTTGCTGAATGACTATGTTGTCATCTCTTTTGTAAGTGCTTACTATGGGCCAGAAGCTGATCTAAGCTTTCTAAAGAGGATTTCTTCTTAAAAACCCTATGAGGTATCCTTATTTTAGGAGAAAGTGAGGATAGAAAGTTAAATATCTTTGTAAAGACTGAAGACCTGGAACAGAAACCACGTGTGACAACAGAGCCCTCCCTGTTAGCCACCACCTTTATGTCCTTCCCTGGCACCGTGATATGCAACTAAATATTTTTGAACAAGTTAATAGTTGTCAGGTTTAAGAAGTGGCAATGGAAAGGCACTTAAAAAAAAAAAATGAAGGGAGGGAAATCGGAGGGGGAGACGAACCATGAGAGACTATGGACTCTGAGAAACAAACTGAGGGTTCTAGAGGGGAGGAGGGTAGGGGCATGGGTTAGCCTGGTGATGGGTATTAAAGAGGGCACGTACTGAATGGTGCACTGGGTGTTATGAACAAACATTGAATCATGGAACACTACATCAAAAACTAATGGATGTAATGTATGGTGATTAACCTAACATAATAACATAAAATTTTTTAAAAAAGCCCTTTTATTTCTTCATAGGAACCTGGCTAATTTGCTTTATTCAGTCTGCAGCTTTCTGCTTAACAGCATCTAAGAGTGCATGAGGGGTGAGCAAGAGCGATGCCATACAGAAATGGCATAGCTGGGCAGGATTTGTTTATTGCCTTTTATTCAAATGCAGTGGGTTAGTGTTCATCACACCAACCAAACTCCTTCCTTCCTTCCTTCCTCCCTCCCTTCCTTCAACATTTGAATGAGTACATGTGTTAACCACTGTGCAAACACAGAAGAGAGCCTCCCAATGACAGAGGATAAATGAAGACCCCACATTATCATCAGACTTTTGGAAACCATTAGGAAAAGAGTAACTTGGGCAGTCCCCTTTGATCCAGCCTGGCCTTGCTGGAAACAAAACACCAGTCCAGCTTCAGGTATTCTCTACCTCTGACCTGCAAGTTAATACCTAAAATGATGGCTGCTATGTCCCTCAGACATTTTGTGTCCTGTTTTCCGCCAAAAAACTTACACCATGTAATGTTGGATTCACTATGGTATTGTTTAACTTTCAATTCTGAAATAATTTTAGATTTCCAGAAGAGTTGCAACAATATAGTAAGGAGAATTCCCTATGCCCTTCACCCAACTTCCCCTAATGCTAACATTTTTTATAACTATATTAGTAAAATTATCAAAACTAAGAAAGTAACACTGACTCAGTACTATTAACTAAACCACGGACCTTATTAAGACACCAG